CCCCCCCCCCCCCCCCCCCAAAAAAAAAAAGAAACCGTAGGCAGCATCTAAAAGAAAAGCGGGCTGAGGCTCAGACTTAAAGATCTTTTTGATTCTCTGAGGCAGTTGTCTCACTTGTCATCGTTTCTAGAATCCTTTACCCCACTGGCATAGTTGGTGTATATGCATTAACACAACTTCCATTACACAAACACTGATGGTTAGATGTAGAGCCTATGCAAGCCATTCAGCCCATCATCTGCTCAGCCATTTAGTGAGATCATGTCTGAGTTGATGATCCTGAATTCCATTTTCCTACCTTGTCTCCATGCATCTTGATTTCCTTACTGATTAATTTCTTTACTGTCTAACTCAGCCTTAGGTAATCTTTATAGCCCTGCATGATATTGCATGCAGTTTTAGTTGTCTCATCTGAGGAATGATGTTCTGGCTATGATTCACAATTTGCCAGACTGATTTCTGGGATAGCAGGCCTGACACACAAAAATAAATGAATCATTTTGGATTATCTTCACTGGAATTTAGAACGAGGGAAAGAGTCTCAGGAGCTTATGAAATTCTAACCGGAGTAGATGGTTTAAATGCAGGAAGGATGTTCCCAATGACCAGGGAGTCTAGAACCAGGGGTCATAGGTTAAGGAGCATTTATGGCCGTCTTAAAAATCCTGCCAATGGAGTGTCTGTCTTCTTACAATGTTCTTTATGTATTAATAACTGTGTTCATTAAAATTAGTGTTATTCTATCAATAGATACTGGGTCAATATTTCATTGAAAGAAAAGTCTTCCAACTAAATGTTTTGAACATTTTATTTTCATTATTAATTATTAGGTTATTATTTTTAAAAGAATTTAAATTACAAATCAAGGCCTGTAATTGACAAAACCTAAAGAGACAATTTGGAATTTATTTTCCTCATCTTGTCTTGATACAAGACGTCTTCAAGACTCCTTTAAAAGCCATTTATTACCCTGAATTTATACTGTATATTTTTAAAGTGCACTTTTCAATCTTTTGTTTCAATTTGGAGTTGCAGGATAGTGAGTCTATTTAATTACAGTATTTTGCTGTTCGATGCTTCAAATGGTGACCTTGAATGTATATTATTGGACAAAAATTTACAAATAATGTTTGAGTGAAGCCGTAACATCTCATTCCAAATATGCTTTGTATTGTGCTTTTAAGATTTCTAGATTTCAGTGTGGCACTACGTTTTACTATTTTCACAAATTGCCCTTCAGAAATTAATATATCTATATCCTTTCCACCAGTGGCATGTTGGCTGTTGCTATGGATGATTTCAGGATAGTGGTTCTTGATAGTGAAACAAGGAAGTTTGTGAGAAGATTCACTGGACATCAGAATCAAATAAATGATATGGTACGATATTTTGTACAAGAAATGTTCTGATTCTTCAATAATGAAACAATATTTTCTACCACTTTTGGGAGCGTCTTTCACCTCTTGAAGTATTTCAGTCTAATTTACCCAGCAAATGCTGAATTTAAATATGATGCTGTGTGTCAGTGGACGGTAGGTAGACTAATGATTTGGTAGATATAGATGAATGCAGCTGGAGCTTATTGCAGACAAAGCTTGTGCAGTGTAAATACACCCTTATGATTTATTGTTTCAGGATTGCTTTTAGTATATCAGCAGCATGATTTAGTAACTAAGGCAGAATTGCCTACTTCATTTTACATTTTTAAAATTGAGTCCATGTTGGATGCTTAAAATTAATGGATAATATTTTAAAGAATTAATAAGATATTGCATGAAATGGTGGGATGCATGGTCAATGTTCCATTTGGTTGCTACTTGATCTCATTAATTGTAAGTCTGTGTTAGAGTGGGCTTGCAGTGTTGCCTCACAAGTGGTAATGGATTGCACTGGACTATTCTTGTGTCTTCTGACATTGGAGGTTGGGTGAAAAGAAGAGACACTCGATTTAAGTGTTTGAACTGTATCACAGGTGCTGGCTCAATTTTCTCTACCTTCGTGGGCATAGTGACTGCAAACAAGGTCTTACCTCTCCTTAACACCAGCAATATGCCCAACATTAATTTGAAAGAGCACAGAGGATTGTGTACCAATTAGAGGGACAAAGGTTTGGAAGTGGGGAAATCTAGCCTTGCAAAGCAAAGGAAATGGCAGCATGACATAGAATGACTGCAGCAAATATGATCAAAAGGGGAAAAAAATAGTAAAAAGGCAAAATTAATGGCTCTTAATAATTGTATGCATGTACTATTTGGAACAAAATAAATGATTTAATGATGGATAGATAGATAGCTCCCACTTCTGTAACTGGATCCTCGACTTTCTGACCCACCGTTGTAAGTTGGATCTCGACCAACAACAAGACAAAATTCAGGAAGGAGATTGAATGCTTAATGGTATGGTGTACAGACAACAATCTATCCACTAACATCAGCAAAACGAATGAGCTGGTCATTGACTTCAGGAAGTGGAGTGGAGGGCATGCCCTGGTCTGCATCAATGGTGCTGAGGTGGAGATGATTGTAAGCGTAAAGTTCCGAGGAGTGATGAGCACCAACAATCTATCCCTGGTCCACCCACGTTAACGTGACGGTCAAGAAAGCACAACAATGCATCTATTTAATCAGGAGGCTAAGGAAATTCAGCATATCCACAACAACTTCTTTTAACAATTTTTATAAATGCACCATAGAAAGCATCCTGTTTGGATGCTTCACAGCGTGGTATGTCAACTGCTGTTCCCAAAACCGCATGAAAACTACAGGGTCGTGACCACAGCCTAGTCCATCACGCAAACCAGCCTTCCATCCGTTGACTCTATTTATGCTTCCCACTGCCTCAGGAAAGCAACCAACACAATCAAAAACCACTCCCACTCCAGTTATATGCTCTTCTACCCTCTTCTTGGGCAGAAGAAATAAAAACTTGAATACACATACAAGTATATTCAAGAATGGCTCCTTCTTGGCTGTTATCAGACTATTGAACGGACCTCTCAAATGTTAATTCTGACCTCTGTGTACCTTTTCTGCTGCTGTAAAACTGTTTTCTGCACTCTGTTCTGCTACCCTGATGCACTTTGTATGGTATGATCTGCCTGCATAGCACGCAAAACGACACCTTTCACTATATCTCTGTACATGCAACAACAATAAATCAATCAATAAACAAGTGGGGAAAAAACTTGGCTGATAGAATATAATTTGAGAAAGTGAGAGTTATGCATTTTAAAAGGTGGAATAGAGGAGCTTAATATTATTTAAATGGAGAAAGTTTGCAGAAAGCTGCAATGGTCTAATGGTATTATCGCTGGACTGTTAATCTAGAGCCCAAGGTAATGGGTTTCTCCGGGACCTAGGTTCAGATCCCGCCATAGCAGTTGGTGGAATTTGAATTCAATAAAAAAAAAACCTGGAATTAAGACTAATGATGACCATGAATCTTTTGTCTATTAACAGAAAAACCCATCTGGTTCTTAATGTCCTTTACGGAATTGCCAACCTTATCTGATCCAACCTACATGTGACTCCAGATCTGCAGCACTGTGAATGACTAAAGTTTTTGAGAAGACTTGTAGTTTGGTTTGTGGATGAGGATGTTGATTTGTTTGTTGAGCTGTTACTTTGGTTTGCAGATGTTTTGTCGTCATACTAGGTAACATCAGTGCGCCTTCAATGAAGCCTTGTTGGTCTGTCCCGCTTGTTACTTATGTGGTTCTGGTTCTGCTTCATGGTGGTTGGTATATGGGGTCTATTTCCACATGTTTATTGATGGAGTTCCGGGTTGAGTACCAGGCCTGTAGGAATTCCCGTGCATGTCTTTGATTGGCTTGTCCTAGGATGGTCACATTGTCCTAAGTGAATTGGTGGCCTTCTTTGTCCGAGTGTATGGAAAAAGAGTGATAGTCGGTCGTGTCTCTTGGTAGCTAGTTGGTGCCCATGTACCCTGATAGCTAGTTTTCTCCCCGTCTGTCCGATGTAGTGTTTGTGATAGTCCTTACATGAGATTTTATATATCACATTGGTATTAATTTTGGGTATGGGATCCTTTGTTCTTATCAGAAGTTGCCGTAGTGTAGCTGTGGGCTTCTGTGCTACCATGATTCCTAGTGGTCAGAGTAGTCTGGTGGTCATCTCTGATACATTCTTGATGTATGGCAAGGTAAAATTGGGAAAGTCTCGCTAAAACTACACAAGGCACTAGTCAGATCACAGCTGTAATACTATGATCAGTTTTAGTCCCCTTTTTTAAAACAGACTACCTGGTATTGGAGGCAGTCCAGAGAATGTTTACTAGGTTGTTCTTGGCTATTGTCTTAGGAGAGGTTAAGTAGTTTGGACCTTTACTCAATGTAACTTAGAAGAATGAGAGGCAACCTTATTGAAACATACAAAATTCTTAAAAGGCTTTACTGGATAAATGCAGAGAGGTTGTTTGACCTTGTGGGAGAATCTATGACTTAGAAGGCATAATCTCAGAGTAAGGGGTTGCCCAGTTAGCACAGAGATTAGGAGGAATGTCTTCTCTGTTGGTAATAAATTTGTGGAATTCTTTAGCACAAAGGGTGATTGAGGCTGGGTCATTGAGTATATTCAAGGCTGGGGTCTGAATTTTTGATCAGTAAGGGAATTGAGGGTTATTGAGAAAAAGTGGAATTGAGAATTGTCACATTATCCATGATCACGCTGTATAGATAAGCAGACTTGATGGTTTAAGTGGTTTTTTTCTGCTCCACCATCTTATGGTATTGCCGCTGGATGTTCAAAACAGTAATTTATCAATTAATTGATAAAAATGCCTGCTTTGAGCACTAAGCAAATTCTAACTTGGAAGTTAGTGCTCGGCAATGTAATAGGCTCACAGCTGCCATTTAAGGGTGCAACTCTTGAAGGCTGACGAAACTAAAAAGGCAAGGCAAAGTTTTAAATACTAGAGATAACAAGGTGTAGAGCTGGATGAACACAGCAGGCCAAGCAGCATCAGAGGAGCAGGAAGGCTAACGTTTCGGGCCTAGACCCTCCTTCAGAAATAAACCTTTTAAATACTAAACCTTTTTTGTAAAGAGTGAACTTCTAGAATGCACAAATACTGAGGCTGTTGCCACAGTGAAACTACCACCCACCTTGGTTTCCAACCTTGTTTACCCATAAAATTTCTTTGGCATGTTGCTCTTTCATGTGCAGTACGTTGCATCAGTTAGTTGCCCAAAAGTCAAAATCCGCACTATTTGAAATGAATAGAACCAAAGCAGTATGACAACACCTTCTCATTGTAGCAATAATCTCAAGATTTGAATTAAACTCCCGAGAAATATTATTGAATCCCCTTACATCTCGCATCATCCCACAGACGATGTATTTTTTTAGTAACATGCAGTGTTTGGTAACTACCAAAGGCAACCTCCCTCTCCTGATCCCTCTCAGAATTCTGAGGATACTATTCTCCTGGAGATCCTGCTCTACTATTCAAACAAATTTCTTTGCAAACACAGGAGATGCAATGTACACCGTGCTTTCTGGTGAAACAGTAATTTATTTTCTCCAACTTGATATAGTTTATTTGCTGCCACAGTATATCTATATTGTGAGAGGGGTCTTGTGTGAATATCTTCGTCAGACTACAAGCATGATTCTGAGCTTCCAGTTGCATGCCACTTTAATTTTTCATTATATTTCTACTTTGACCTCTGTCATCTGCACTTCTCCAGTTAAGTCCACCTCAGACTTGTGAAACAGAATCTCATCTTTCTGTGGGGGTTTTACAAATTTCCAGATTTAACATTGATTTCGACAGCTTTAGAATTTAACCAGCACTGCCATTGCTGTGAACAGCTGCTGCTATTGAAGGATGGTTGTTTCAGAGTTAGAGTGAAGCAGGTATCAACTCATGTTTTCGCTGAGGATTATTTCTCAATGCACATTTGTTTGTGTGGTGTATATCTTTTGGGTAAAATTACCTTTCTCATCCATATTGCTGGGCCAGAGAAGCATTCTTCTCATTGGCATGTTTTCTTGGGTTACCTCCCCATCTTCTAGATGCTTTGAATCAACTTGTTCAGACACCCTCCACACCTTCTAGATATTTTCTAGTCATGTTACACACTGCTGAAGCAGATGGGACTTGAATCCAGACCCCACCTTCTATTCAGTTGTAATTATTTACATCTCATGACTCATCTTGTGATTCTTTAATTGTTGCATTAGCATTTAATTTTTATCCCTTTTGCCACTTAATCTTGCCTGTGTTTCTCCCTAATCAGAGCTTTTTGTTCTTTTCTTCCTGCATCTTTTTCTCTGCGTCTGTACCTTCCTTAAATCTCTAACTTCTAGTTCTGAAGAAAACTTATTGACCTGAAACATTGGCAGGAATTTTATGTCTCCGCTGGCAGCGAGGTGGAGAAGGGCTAAGTTAGGTCCAAGAATTTAGCAAATGCCTGCAAGTGGCCAGGTGCCACTGGATTTGTACCACTGGATTTTACCCACTGTGGCTGACCTTCTTGCCAAGTTGAGGGACTGGAGGGTGCAAAGACTCCTCTTCAAACAAAGATTTGTGGCATCTCTTCTTTGGGAACTGCCTGTAGCCTATGTAGCCATAGCCTGTAGTGGTGCTGTAACTGGAGAACTGTCAACCGTCAATTGGTAGCACTTGGAGCCGAGACTTTCTCGGTAATGGTTTAGGTCCTGACAGTAGGCAGCCTATTCGAGCAAAAGTAGGCTGTCCTCTGACTTTTCAGCGTGGGTGGGATCCTATATGCTGTGTAAAATTTCCGCGATTAGCTTTGTCTCGCTGAACAGATAACAGGCTGATCAAAGTGATTATCAGCACTATTTTTATTTCACGAGTTGTAGCTATTATTTAATATAAATAAATGTGCATCAAAATAATCTGCTACAATTTGTAATATGTTCTCTCAATATTTTTGAAGACTTTTAATCCAGATGGTCGTTGGTTAATTTCTGCATCGATGGACTGCACCATTAGGACCTGGGATCTCCCATCAGGATGGTAATTTGAAATAAAAGAAAATTCTGTAAATTTTTAATCAGAAAATAATTTATACTATTTAATATTATTTCCTAATATTGGACATCAATGTTCAATCACTAAGCAAGAATAGCAGATTTTCAGAAAAGAATTTTGCATCATTTAAATAATTTATCAGTTAATGATGGATACCTACTACAAATATATTTACGTGGTAGTTTGCTAAATATTGGTATAGAGTGCAAATCTAGATACATGTGACCACATGTGGCAACAAAAGGTAAAGTTTGAGTGCAGTAGGCATGTATGCATGCACAAAATTTAATTTATAGTTTTAATACTATTTTTGTTAATATTTGTCAAAATTTACAATTGAAAATGGCTGAGTCTTTATAATAGATTAACCTTCCTGAAGTCTTGGACATTTATCAGGTGTAAAATATGTAAACATGCCAACATTTTATAGTCTGAAACAGCATATAAACCAATGTTAAATTTGCAAAATGAGCAAAGCCTCTATTTATTACTAGTATGTGACAGTTGTTAGATACTATAAACATAAGTTCTCTGAGACATATATCGAAAGATTGGGACTGCTCATGGGCAAAATGGAGGATGATACGTTCTCAGGGACCAAGACACTATGAAGCTTGACTTTGCATCACTATGGTGAAATACCACATATCAGTCTAATCTGTCCAGTTGCTCACCCAGTTTATCAAATGTGTAGTCCATTGGTGCTTACCCTACCTAAATCTTGATTCTTATTTAGTTGTTTCGCATATTTTCCCTTTCAAACACTATGCTGCACTTAATCACGTTGTAGAAAGGAAATACTGCATTTATATGCCACCTTTCACAACCACAGTCTCAAGTATTTACAGCAATAAAATTGTTTTGAAAAGTAGCCACAGTTGTGAGGTAGGAAATGCAGCAGCCACTTTGCACAGTGAGCTTCCAAAAAAACATTGGCTAAATAATCTTGTGATGTCCATTAAAAACCAGGTCATGAGGAATAATTCTCCTGCACTTTTTTGAAATATTGATATAAAAATCTATTTGAGAGGACTGACAGGACTTGGGTTTAACATCACATCTGAAAGTCAGCACCTCCAATAACATAATATTCGCATTTGGCTTTTGCTACTTGCTTGTATAGTTTAAGCTTGAGTACAAAATACCACTTCACACCTGTTGCCATTGGCCTATATCTCGTAAATCTTAATCACTTTTTAACTTCTTAATTCTGCAAGGATCACATCTTTTTATTCCTTTTTAGTTTGGATTGTAGACTAAAAGAAGGTGACACTGCTTAAAACCAAGGCGACTGCGTAAACAAATGGCTGCAGTTTTAAAAAAATCATGTTTACTGGAATAAATTTAAGTTTTATATACAACGTTACGTTTTGCATGTGAGGGCAGAAGCAGACTGCACCGAGCCAACGGATTCTAAGCTAAAGTAAAACTGTATGATGATAAACTCTGACTTCTGACTAGTTGACCGTGGCTTATATAGAACCAGTGCAGCACAGAGCCACCTAGCCTGCAAAGAGAAAGTGTAAAAATAAAACTCTGTCTGTCTGTCTGTCTGTCTGTCTGTCTTTCTCTGTCCTGTGTAGGGGTACTAGAAACTCTCCAGTAGTAGCTGGCTGTCTTTCACTCAGTTTTCTTTGTAAATTTCTGTTGAAGAGGGGAAAGACACCTTCAAAGAGGGGATGAATTCTGCATCAGTGAATGAAAGAGAGCATTGGTGTGCAAACAACTTGTCAGAAGCAAAAACCAGAAACGAATTGCAGGAAAAGAAAGAAAGCAACTCCTCTATTTCTGTGGTCCAAACTTGTGTTATTGAATTCTGTTTCCCTGACTTTAGTTTTTCTTTTCCATCCTTAATATCCACGTCTTGTCTGTCTGTCTGTTCAGGAGCATAGGAACAGGAGTAGGCCATTCATCCTGTCGAATCTGCCCCGCCAATAAATAGGATTGAACCTTTCAGATCTTTCAATGTCTTTATCTACCCCATCCCCGTAACCCTGAATACCATTGGCAATCAGAAATCTATCAATCTCTTCCTTAAATGTACTCAAAGTCAAGAGAATTCTGAGAGTTCACAACCCTCTGAGTAAAGATATTTATCCTCATCTCAAGCCTAAGTTACATCTCTCTTATTGTGGCCCCAAAACTAGACACCCCATCAAAGGAAATACCTTACCAGCATCTATCCTGTCTATTCCTTTCAGAATTTTGTAAGATTCTATGAGATCACCTCTTCAAAACTAGAGAATACAGGTACAGCATGTTGAATCTCTCTTCACAGGACTGTCCCATCATCCCTGCCACATGTCTGGTGAACCTTTGTTGCATTCCCTCCATGGCAATAATATATCTTTCCTGAGATAAGGAGACCAAAACTGCACACAGTACTCCAGGTGCTGTAAAATCAGGCACCTATACAATTGAAACAAAACTTCACTACTCCTTTACTCAAATCCTCTTGCCATAAAGTCCAGCATTCCATTAGCTTTTCTGCATGTTAGCCTTCAGTGACTTATCGACATGGACATCTAGATCAGTTTGGATGTCTGTGCTTTCTAACCTCTTACCATTGAACGAACACTCTGCATTGTTTTTGCCCATTCACTAAGCCTATTCAAATCGCACTGATGCCCTTTACATCTTCCTCACATTTGGTCTCACGTCCAAATCATTGATATATATTGTGAACAGTTGGGGCCAAAGTACTGATCCTTGTAGTACTCCACTTGTCACAGCCTGCCATTGAGAGAATGAGGTATTTATTCCTACTCACTTTTTTTGTTTTGTCTGTTAGCCGACTATTCATCCATGCCACTACCTTCTATCCCATGAGCTTTTAATTTTTCCAGTCATTCTTCTATGGTGGACTTTATCAAGAGCCTTCTGAAAATATAAGTATACAATGTCCATTAGCTCTTCTTTATCCGTTTTGTTGGTTACACCTTCAAAATTACTCCAATATGCTCATCAAACACTATTTGCCATTTGCAAATCCACACTGACTATGCCCAGTTAGATTATTTTTGTCCATATGTCTATTTATCACATCATTTAAAATAGATTCTATCACTTTGCCCCTCCAACAGATGTAGTTCCTCGTTTTCTGTCTCACTCCATCTTAAATAATGGCATGACATTTGCTGCCGTCGAATCCGCAGGAGTCATTCCAGAATCTATAGAATTTTGGAAGATAGTCACCAATTCAATAACTTTCTCAATCGACACTTACTTCAATATTATGGGATGTGGAATTTTAGATCCAGGGGTTTTATCAGCTTTCACAGCTATTAATTTCTCTAGTACAATCTTTTTATTAATAGTAATTTCCTTCAACTCCTCATTCTCCCTAACTACCTGGATCTGTACTACTGGGAGATTTCTCATATCTTCCTCAGTGAAAACATCTGAAATAATCATTTAGCTTCTCTGCTGTTTCTCTATTTTTCCCCCATTATACATTGTCCTGACTCTGCTTGTAACGGACCCACATTCATTTATCCAAGCATTAACTTTTAAGTCACCACTTCAGATTAAACTACCTCACTTCCAAACGTATTGTAAAATTCTATCATATTGTAGTTACTCATCTCTAAAGTTCTTTTACTCGGGATTGTTAATTAGCCTTTTTTCTTATATACTATTGGATCTAAAATAACATGCCCTCTAGGTGACTCTTCAACATAGTATTCTAGAAAACCACCCCCAACACACTTCAAAAACATTTACCTCAGGGTGTGGGAGAGTTAACGAATTAGAGGTTAAGTTGTAATGTTATGAGGTAGTGGTTCATATTTCCTAATTGCCATTGGTTAAAGACAATTTGTTCATCATAAACAGTTATTTTCTTGTTAAGTACTGAAACCTGGTCTGGTTTTTTTCTTTAACTTGAGTTCATCAACTAGGCAAGTTTGGAAAGTTTGACTAAATCCTTTTCAATTCATGATGACTCTAGAACAGTGGAGCTTGATTTCCAGAACACTAAACCCTATGTATCATGACAATTCTACTTGTGGTCGGTCTCCATTATCTGCTAGCTACTCATATTATCTCTTAGCATTGAAAGTTTTATCCTTGATTCCTGACAATGCTTCTCCACTCTACAGTTTTCGGTACATTTCTTGGAGATCATCTTATCTAGTATATCTAGTTCCAATCTTGACCATCCTACAGTGACGCATCAGTAATAGCTACTTATGTGCTTGCAGGTCATTCTGTTAGTTCTTTATTTTCGTTTGGACAGGTAAGGAGCCTTGGGTAGAAGGAGCTGAGAATGTTTAGAATCAAATGTTATTACGTTTTCAAAGTTTGTATTCCAAATTCAGATATTATTTCACTATTTTTCTCTCTCCCTTTCAGCCTAATAGACTGCTTCTTGGTTGATTCAGCAGCGGTCAGTATTACCATGTCCCCCACTGGAGACTTCCTGGCTTCTGCTCATGTGGATGATTTGGGAATTTACCTCTGGTATGGGCGATGTTTACAGAATTTTTTTGTTACTTTTCAGCAGTTTTCAGATACAAAAGTGAAATGTTCTGTTTTTACTCGTGATTGTGTTGATTATGTTCAATGTAATCATTTGTTCAAAGGTTATTGGGATACTATTAGTGTCTTGAAAGTTGTAATGCAATTTCTGCCTTCAAGGATCAGTTAGCTGCTTGATAGTGCCATTATATAAAGATATTAGTAATTGCAATCAAAATTTAAATTTCTGCTGCCGGTGTGCTAAGGTAGCAAATATAATATGATCAAGCAATAATAGGAGCTAGATTTGAATGAAGTACAGAGCTTTCAATGCCAATTTGTATTTGGATAGCACCTACTAAGTAGTAAATGACACAAGCTGTTTCCCAGGAGCATTGAACAAAATTGACACAGTGCACTAAGAGTGCAGTTAAAGGTGTAACTCTGTGCTGCAGAGATTAAAATTGGTGATGTGGATGAGCACTGAGATCTTAGAGTTCTGGGGCTCAAGAAGGATACGAAGAAAAGGATTAGCAAGGCCAAAGATGAATTTGATGATGATAAATTCAAAATTGAGACATTGCTGGATGGTTACCAGAATAGGTCAGCAAGTATAGGCCTGATGGGTGAATGTGACTAAGTACAAATTAGGATCTGGACAGCAGAACTCCAGTTGGAGGATGGAAGACTGCAAGGTTCTGGAATAGTGAATTCTAATGAAGATAGGATTGATGAAGGTTTATCACCAAGGAGCTGAAGTAGCGGAGAGCAAATTTGTGATTGAGTGGATGTATGGTCAGAAGCTCCTCTTGGGATCAAATACAATCCCAAGATTGTAAACCGTCAGACAGTTGCCAGGTAGATAGATGGAGTAGGTGTCTAGGAATTGTATTTTGTGACAATGACTAATGATAATGGCTTCAGTGGTCATAATAGCTATCTTGGAATGTACGGTGAATAATATTGACAGTGGAAGTAGTAGTGAGATAGAGCTGGGTGTTGTCAGCATATGTGGAATCCAAATTGTTTTACCGTCATCAAAATTTGTGTATTGAACCATCAGGTGTCTCTCCTGCTGCACCCACTTAATTTTCTTTTCTCCAAAATATTTCACACTTCTGCCAAATGTCATGTTTCTGACCTTTTCACACATCTACATTCTCTTGAAGCCTACTACTATCCCCTTTACTATTTATTACATTTCCAAGCTTTGTGCCATGTGAAAAATTTGAAAATGTTTGTTTCTTAAATGTTAGGTGTAGTTTGCTAAAGGTCTGTTTATGTTATAGATAGCAGAAGGTTATGGGTTCAAGTCACACGTGTTCTAAAGTTAGTTGCCCTGTTTGTATTCAGAACATTAGTCTGTGCACTACAAAAGCAATTCATTGATTGTGTTGGGCTATATAGCGCCTTAGCCTATGAAAGGCAATACAGAAAATGAAAGTTATTGTCCTATTGAACCAGAAGTGCACATTACCACAAGTGAGCCGGAGCAGTAAGTGTCATAAATCAATGCAACATCAAGAATTACGAATAAGGAAAATGTGTGTTTTCATTTAAAATAAATAAATAAATAAAATCAATGGATGGGATGACCATGAAATGTATACCAACAGCTATGGTAATAGGGATGAATAGCAAATCATAATTTATTTCTCCCTGTTTTATTTAGGTCCAACAAGACGCTGTATAATGTTATTTCCCTTCGACCACTGCCTGCCGATTACCAACCTTCTTTTGTAATGCTTCCTGGAGTATGCCAACAACAAGGTTTTAATTTTGAGTGAATTTTACATAAATTGCATTTAACATTTACTTTTACTTTTTCAGGCTGATTTCCTGATTCTGCTCTCATTATTAAAGTTATGTGAAAGTTTTAATATTTTGCTTTTTTGAGTTCTCTCTGGAAGATGTATTATTTTGTGAAAGTTTAATTACAAGCACCGTTTTTTTGGAACTTAAATACTTTCTGTTAAGTTTATAGCACCCTGGTGCCATTTTTTTCCATTCAACTTCATTTTAAAAAGCAAGTTTAAGAATAACGTTGAAACTATTTACTTTGCTGTAGAATTGGAGGCTTCAGACATTGAAGAGGAAGTAGAAGACCAGATGATAGAATATGATTCAGCTGAACAGCTCGGAGAGCAGTTGGTTACACTCTCATTGCTTCCAGAATCACGCTGGAAAAATCTCCTCAACCTCGACATTATCAAGGTAGTACGATCTTTGTGACCTTGTGTTCTAAATTTCTGGGTTGAGTATTTTAATGCTATTGTTTATAGTGTTATGTGAAACTAATACGGTTTTTTTTAAAAGGAAAAACATCACAATGGTTTTAATTTTTCTCCTTTCTGTACAATAGATTGCTTTGTGAACATCTTTTCACTGGATTTTAGCATGAGGTTTTGTTCACTAATTCTTGGTTTAAGTGTTATAAGTTTCTTTATATGCAAATTTCAGTTAAATATTGACTCTTTTTGAATGTTTATCTATTTACTTTATGATAAAGCTATGCTTTCACTATCCACAAGTTATTTGAGAACTTGATTTTACTTGGTTAGATTGTTATAAATATGTGATGGCATCTTTAGTTTGATGTGTTTTAGTAAAACCTTGTGATTTTAAAAAATTTTTTTATTTTGAGTTCTGATTCTTAATCATCTTATTTGGCCGGCCTACAGAAAAGAAATCGACCTAAAGAACCACCTAAAGTGCCCAAATCCGTTCCCTTCTTTATTCCAACTATTCCTGGCCTTGTCACTCATTTTGCTGCTGAACAACAACAAACCACTGAGGATCAGGTAGGTGCAAAGCCAGTCGTGTCTGATATATATGCCTGTGGTGATACTGACATTATTCCAGCCAGACCATAAGCCTGTGTTTGATAATTTGCCAGGTCGTAACACTTATTGTGGTTCTTCTGTTATGTTTTCTTTGTAAATGTTACCGATGTGGTAGAGATGTCAGAAGTAAAACAATTAAGTGGCGTCTAGAACCTTTTGTTTAAAAACATGGGCCTAGTTTGTTCTGGCATCACAAAGCCATCTGAATTGCATCATCATAAAAGGAAAGCAAGATGTTTTCTTTTAGAAATTGTATGAAAGGTTTAATTTATTTTAATTTGATGATAATAATACAGTCACGATACAAAATGATGGAGAATTGCTCAGAATTAATTTAATCCAGATGATGAAACATACTATAAGGATTGAGAAACTAATAAGCATTAAGACTATTATGACCTATTTCAGAGCAGGAAATGTGTGTTCTTATTTTTGATTCTAAGGCTTCTTTTTAAAAGAAATTAGGTGACATTTTACATTTGAATTAATTTCTGTAATATTGCAAAATATAGGTGTGTAGTGCAAAATAAGTACTGAAATCCATAATTGATACTAAAATCTTCAATCTTACTACATCTTTTTATCTGTTTTTAGTCCAAAGTGGTAAATCTGGGCGTGTTGACTCAAAAGACAGAATTGTATTTGCAGCTGGAAAGTGCTCTAAACACCAACAGTTGTAAGTAACTTGTACACAATTTATTTTCTTCACTTGAATGTACTTGATATCCTTCTATTGACTATTTTAAAAAAAAACGCTTTTTTAAAAAAAAAGCACATGGCAGTATTCTGCTTTTCTGCTAACATTGGCCTGTGCCACATCTTGGTACATTAGCCGAGGTAGAAATCTAATGTCGTCAACTTTTTGCTGACTGGGTTCTCTGTACATTATGTACAAGTAATCTGTTTCATTACTTTGCCTTGTACGATCCATGAAAAGTGTGTTGGAAGGAACATTGGTTGTGTCAAAATCCATTTTTCACTTTTAATTTCCTGCCTCAAAATGTTCCTTGCTTTTGTTTCACTTTTTTTTTGCAAAGGCCTAGCTGGAATTATGTTCTTGTGATTTAGAGCATCCACCTAAGATTTGAATGAGGTTGAGATGCACAAACCACAATATTTGATCCTACATTCTACATATTCAAAAGAGATTTTAACTAAACAAGAGAAGGTCTTAAAAGACGTTTTTCATAGTAAACCATCACTGCATACGTATTGTGCCTGCTCTTCTTAAAAGAATACGACAAATCCACTCCATGATCCCCAGAAACACACCTGGCTGAAGAGTTGGCGCAGGAGCAAGGGATTTAGATTCCTAGATTACTGGGTCTGATTCTGGAGAAGGCGGGACATGTATACATCTGACAGGTTGCAGTTGAAATGAACAGGACCAACATCCTTGCAGGGCAGGGATTTGCTAGCGCTGTTGGTGAGAAGTTAACTAATTTGGCTTTTGGAATAGAGTGGGTAAATATGGAGTAGAGATATAATAGGAAGTGATGCACAAATATAGAAGAAAAACCAAGTCCGTCTGGAAGGTAGAGCATGTATAGTCAAGTTAAGGTGCAAAGCTGACATTTATTTTAATGCAAGGAGTCTTGTCAGTAAGACAGATGAATTGAGGGTGTTTGGTTGGAACCAGGTGGACCTTGTTAACTGAGGTTCTTGATTGGCTCAGGTTAACAATCACAATCAGGAAAGCCTTGGCTGACCAATATAACCAAAAGATTAGCATCTGCTCAGCTGTAGACTGACTCTGAGCTGGCTGGTCACAGCCAGTGTACTGTGCATTAGTAATTAAAGGGTGATTTGGTGATGGGTCACCAGCCTCTGAGCAGTTATTTTAGTGGCAGTGGGAGAAAACGGGACGTGACTGAAGAACATTTGATTGCAACTGTCATTTGGAGTTGGGGTAAGTATTTCTGGTATTGTCTCTATTTGGGAAGCTTGACTTGTTTGACCTTGCTGTCAAAGACTGGGCCCAGTATGTCGAAAGAATGTAATAGTTTTTCCAGGCAAATGACATTGGGGCAGATGAAAAGCAACAAGTATTCCTTCTGACTGCATGTGGACCTGCAGCATTTTTGGTTATAAGGGGCTTAACTTTCCCAGAGACACCAGACATTAAAACCTTCGAAGAGTTGGTTCAGAAATATTACAGCCCCAAACCACCTCTAATCCTGAGGATGCTATTGGTTTTATTGGGCTGTTAGAGAACTGGGGGAATCGTATCGGGATTTTTGACAAGGTTACAATGACTGGCAGAGGTATCTGATTCTGGGTTTGGTATGTGGGATTAATGATGTAATCACGCAGAGGCACCTACTACCTGAAGCCCAACTGGACTTCAAACAGGCACTGCAACTGGCCTGAGCAGGGAGACCCCAGGGGAACCCATAGCAGAATCCCATAAAGCCAAGCCTTGGCCAAGTAGCTAAACAGTTCTTCAGGATCTGGACTGCTGAGCCATTGTAATTGCTGCTGCTATACGGACTTGAGACAGCAGAGGAGTCCTACAATGCTTTACTTGAGTAGGAAAACTCGGAGATCGGTACCCAGGAGAGTGTACACCCTGGAAAGTCCCCTACCTGTGTGTTGGAATAATTAATTTGCTTAGTGACACTCAAATCAGAGTCAGTTAAAATTAATGTTTGATTAAATGGTCACCCAGTTCCCATGGAGGTCAAAACTGGCGCAGCTGTATCTGTGGTTGCAGAATCTGTCTTTAACAAGATTCGCGAGAGACTCCAACCTTTTAAGCTTGCGCAAGACCTCAGCCAGATGGGAAGAACATACAGTGGGGAACCGTTGAAAATTAAGGGTATGACTTCGGTTCCGGTCTATGAGAAGCAGTTGGTGCAGTTACCACTGATGCTGGTTAAAAAGTTCGGGCCAAGCCCATTGGGGCAGAATTGGTTGAGAAAGATTCACCTTGATTGGCTCAACATTTTTCAATTGAAAAGTGCTGCCTCAATGAAGTCTTAGTGAAATACCCAGGAAATTTTCAAGAAGGGCTTGGGACTATCAAAGGGGCCAAAGCAACTTTACATGTTGACCAGGATGCAATTCTGAGATTTTGCAAGGCCCTTCTGGTGCCATTTGCCTTGTGGACAAAAGTAGAGGTGGAAAGCAGGAGGCTGAAGAGTGAACGAATCATCAAACCAATGCAGTTTGCAGAATGGGCGGCACCGATTGTACCAATCGCGAAGCTTAGTTCACCTTTCTGGGGATTTCGAGCAAACAGTAAACTGCTTCTCACAGCTGGATAAATACTCGATTCCTCATGTAGTGGACTTGTACTCAAAGTTGGCAAGGGAGTGTCCTTAACGAAGCTGGACATGAGCCTACCTGCAATTGCGACTGGATGAGGAGTCCCAGACGTATGCTACAATTAATACCCATGGGGGTTTATATCAATATACAAGACAGCCATTTGGGGTATAATCAGCTTGCCCTCTTTTCTACTGAGCCACAGAGAACGTTTTGCACGGGCTACCCCAGGTTTCCATTTATCTGGATAATGTACTAATAACAGGGAAGACTTGGATAGCTTGGATATAGTGCTTAAATGTTTCTCCCAGGTGGGAGTATGCCTTGGGGGGGAAAGATGGGTGTTCCAGATGCCCCAAGTGACCTCCTTAGGTTACAGAGTTGACAAAACAGGGTTATACCCTATGGAAGAGAAAGTGAGGACGATTAAAGGAGCCCCAGCTCCCATGTCTTTACTGGAGCTTAGGTCTTTCCTTGGGTTAGTGAATTATTACAGAAAATTCATGTGTGACCTGGCCTCCATCCTAGCACCTTTACACCAGTTATTAAAAAAGAGTCAGCCTTGGAAATGATCACAAAGCTAAGAAGCAGCCTTTAGGGAAGTGAAAAAGCAGCTGTCATTATCTAAGGTATTGGCACACTATGATTTGAAGCGAGAAGTAGTGCAGTCATGCAATGCTCTCTGTACAGTATCGGGGTGGTGTTGGCTCATCGGTGGTGGCCCAATGGAGAGGAATGCCCGATAGTGTATGCTCCCTGGACTTTGGCATCAGCCAATGCAATTATGCCCAGATAGGGAGGGAAGGTTTGGCAGTCAACTGTGGTGTGAGGAAGTTCCACCACTACCTTTACGGATGGGAATTTGTCATAGTTACAGATCACAAACCCCTGTTAGGGCACTGAAGGAAGACCAGGCACTGCCACCCATAGCTTCTGGTAGAATTCAGCGTTGGGCCTTTATTCTCGGTGTACAAGTTAGAACACTGTCCAGGAAGCCAAGTAGCTAATGTGGATGCCATGAACTGCCTCCCACTGGTAGATACTCCACTGGTGGTGCCTCCCCTGGAAGAATCCGTTTTGGTTTTAAACTTTCCAGATAACCTCCAGTCACCACGAACAATATCCGACTGTGGACACAAAGATCCTGTCCTAGTGAAACTGAAACAAATGGTGATAATGGGGGAAGCAGAAGGGCCATCGCAACCAGAATTGAAATCTTTTTGGACCTGGCAAGACCAGATCACCGTAGAGGATGGCATTTTACTATGGGGAGCAAGGGTAATTGTCCCGAGTAAAGGTTGCTGCCAGTAACTGGCCGAACTCCACAGGGTCATCCAGGGGTTTCCAAAATGAATATGCTAGCAAGAAACTATGTATGGTGGCCAGGGTTGAATGTTGACATAGCTGTGTTGGTGGGGCAGTGCCCAGAGTGCCAGTAAGGACAAAACCTGTCACCAGGAGCACCCCCACATCCATGGGAATGGGCGGGTAAACCCTTGACTTGGTTGCACGTTGACTATGCTGGTCCTTTTCATGGGCTGAGTGTTCTGGTCATTGTGGATGTCTACTCAGAGGTTAGATGCGAATAAAGTTCGTTCGACAAACGAGAAGCTGCATGCGTTGAAAACGATACATGGACACCTGGAAGTACTGGTCATGGATAAAAGAATGTAATTTACCAGCAGGGAATTCAAATATTTCCTAACGTCCAATGGCATTCGGCATGTAAGGACAGCTCCGTACCATCCGTTGTCCAATGGTCTAGCGGAAAGAGCGGTCCAAACTTTAAAGGCAGGCTTAAAGAAGCGGCCTACAGCATCAATTGATACCAAACTGTCCTGTTTCCTGTTCGATTATAGAACCACTCCGCACCAGGTTAAACCTGATATTCCCAGACCTTGGGGGGAGGATGAAATGGCAGCAGGAACACTGATGCCGGCCACATACCGCCTCTGAGTGAGGCAGTTTAATTCAGGGGACGAAGTTTGGTGCCAGAACCATGGAAATGGCCCTGTATGAGTACAAGGCAAGATTAACGTGAGTTCAGGTCCCGTGGCTTACAAAGTTTGGGTAGGTAATACTGTCCAGAACAAACGTGGATCATTTGAAAGCCATTACATTACAAATGGGGTAGGAGCAAAACCTGTCTGGCCCCACAAAACAGCCTGAAGGCCCGGCAGAAACCGCAGAAAGGTGCTTCCCCCCCCCTCCATCTAGTGTTGAGGAGACCTCGGTCTGAAATGATGTAGGCTTGATACCGTTGCTGCCAGAAGAAGAGGAGGAGACTCTTCTGAGATGTTCCGAACGCAAAAGACCAGCCATGGTCCGGTACACGCAGCATACATCCGAGTCCGAATCGAAGGAACCAGACGTGGGGTGAAAGCACCGCAAAAGAAGCTGCAAGTGAAAGGCCAGGCCTACGTCCCCGAACTTGGGGTGAGGGGGGAGGGATGTAGTGGTGGAACTAGGTGGACTTCATTAACTACAAGGTTCTTGATTGGAGCAGATTAACATACCCTAATCAGGAAAGCCTTGGCTAACCAGTATAACCACGAAATGAAAATCTCCTCAGTTGAGGACCGACTCTGAGCTTGTTGGCCACAGCCAGTGTACTGTGTACTAGTAAATAAAGGGTGATTCGGTGACGGGTCACTGGCCTCTGTGCAGTTACTTCATGAAGAATTTATATTATTACTATCACAGATATGATTGAGGGAGGGGCAAGACTGGCAGCTCAACCTTTTGGGGTATAGATTCTTCAGGCAAGACAGCGAGATCTTAAAAGAAGAGGTGGTGTCACAATATTGATCAAGAAGTTAGTTACAGCAATCAGGAAGGGTAATATCTCAGAAGATTCTTCAACTGAGACCATTATGGATAGAATGTATACACAAAAAAAAGGTGGTCACATTGCAGGGAGCGTACTATAGGCGCCAAATAATCCGGGAGAGAGAGAAAGGCAGAAATGAAGGGAAATTTCAGCGAAGTGTTTAAAAGAAAGTTAGTAATAATGGAGGATTTCAATTTCTCTACTACTAAACGGGATAGGGAAAATGCAAAAGGCTTAGAGGGCATAGAATTCTTAAAATATGTTAAGGAAACTCTTTTTAAGCCAGCATCTATGAGAGAGAGAGTGGGGAGTGGTGTTGGACTTAATTTTTAGGGAATGAAGCCAGGCAAGTTGTAAGAGTCAATAGGGGAAGCTTTTTGGTGACTATAACTCTAGGATTTATGGTAGTCATCGAGAAGGACAAAGATGGAGTGAAAATAATGATTCTGAATTGGAAAAGAAAACTTTAATATGATAAAACAGGATCTGGCCAATAGAGACTGGGAGCATTTGTAGGAAAATCTATATCAGAGCAGTGGGAGTCTTTCGAGAAGGAAATAAAGTGCACAGGACCAACATGTTCCCATAAAGGTAAAGATTGGCTCTTTAAAAAGTCCACAGAACCCTGAAAGTTAGGTAATGTATGGGTTAGATATAGGCAAAAAGGAAGCTTATTGTAGAATCCAGACCTCAAAACATTAGAAGCAATTGATGCAAGGTGTTACTTAATTTTTTTTTTAAGGAAAATGAAGCGGTAACATGAGAAAACACTTGTGGTTAAAATAAAGGCAAGTCCAACAACATTTTAGAAGCATAATAGTGGCAGGAGGATAAGGAGAGATGGATTGGGGACTTGCATAATGAATTGTTGCGTGGAGCTGGAAGATGTAGGTGAAGTTTTAAATGAGTACTTTGCATCTGTATTTACTAAAGAGGACAATGTACGTGCAGAATTAGGGGAAGAGGACTGTGATATTCTTGAATAAATTACAGTTGAGAAGAAGGAGATATCAGGAGTTAGATGACTTGAAAGTGGACAAATTCCCAGTTCCAGGCTGCTGTGGGGGGTAAGGGAGGGGATGGAAAGAGTCTTGTCATTAATTTACAAATTCTTGTGGCCACAGAAGAGTTGCTGGAGGACAGGATGATAGCTATTATGGTGCCATTATTTCAAGAACAGTGGTAAGGATAAACAGTGGAACCTTGGTCAGTGAGTCGAACATCACTGGTAGGGAAACATTTGGACAGATTCTGAGAAGTAGAATTAATCTGTCCTTAGAGGCTAGGACTAAATAAGATAGTCAGCATGGCTTTGTCAGGGAGTGATCATGCCTGACAGGTATGATTGAATTTTTAAAGGCAGTCATTAACTGTGCAGATGACGGTAGTGTATTTGATATAGCTTACATGGACTTCAATAAGGTTTTTGATGACGTATCATATGGGACTCTGGTCTAGAACATAACAGCCTGTGGAAACCCGGGCAAATTGGATCCATAAATGGTTTAGTAACAAAGGGCAACAGATGATGATCAAAGGTTGTTTTTGTGATGGAAGCCTGTGTCCAGTTGTGAACTGCAGTGTTCAAAGCTGGGTTCCTTGCGGTTTGTAGGGTAATAGTAGCTATGAAAGTAGGAGGTTTGATCAATAAGTTCACGGATGAAAATTGGGCAGTGTGGTACACAATGAGAAGGAAAGCCTTAGACTATAGGACAATATAGATGGACTGGTCAGATTTTCAAACAGTGGCAAATGGAATTTAATCCTGTAAAGTTAAAAGAGATGCATTTAGAGAGGTCTAACAAGGTTAGGAGTGCACAATAAATGGTAGGACTTTAGGAAATACAGAGAATCAGAGGCATATCTACAGATCCAGTCAGATGGATAAGATGATTAAAATAGAATAAGGGACACTTGCCTTTGTTAGTTGAGGCATTGCATACAAGAATTGGAAGTTATGATGGAGCAGTAAAAGACATTATTTAGATCAAGCTAGAGTACTGTCTGTAGTTCATGTTGCCACACTATGCGAAGGATGTGATTGCACTAGAGAGGGTGCAGAGGAGATTCACTAGGATGTTGTTTGGCTAGTGTATTTCAGCTGTAAAAAGGTAGATAGGCTGAAGCTATTTCCTTGCAGCAGAGAAGGTTGAGGGGGAATCTGACTCAGGTGTGTAAAACTGAGACTGTAAATAGGGTAGATAGGAAAAAGGTTTCCTCTTAGTGGAGGGGGTGGGGTCAATAACCAGGAAGCATGGATTTCTAGTAAAGTTAGAGGTTTATAGGGGATTTAAGGAATAATTATTTCACCCAGAGATGGTGAATATCTGGAATTCACTGCTCAAAAGGGTGCTAGAAACTGGAATCATCACAACATGTAAGAATTCTTTAGGTGAACACTTGAAATGCCGTAGAATACAAGACTACATGCCAAATGCTGGAAAGTGGGACTAGAGTAGATAGGTGATTGATGATTGGTGCAAACATGATGGACTGAAGGGCTCTGTCTGTGCTGTAAAACACTGTGACTATGACTGTCTGCTCCAAGTTGCACACGTTAGAAGTTGAGACTGTTCTCTTTGGAAAAGAGAAGGTCGAAAGGAGATTTGACAGAGGCAACAAAGTCATGAGGGGTTTAGATAAAGAACATAGAAAAGAAAGCTGTTCCCAGTGGTGGAAGAATTGAGAACAAGAGGTTTTCCCTTTAACATTGAGTCAAAATTCTGCCACTCACCATAATTTCTGCAGCAGTTGACAGAGACTTCTGCTTCCTGAAGTGCAGCTAGGGACAGGCAAAAACTGCAGGCCTTGCAGTGACCTCAATATCCTAAGGATAATACTTAAAGTTTGTGTTCACAAATCAAAAGGTCAATATTGGATTTAGTGCTGGCGTTGGGCATCCTGCTGATGGACCTGAGAAAAGGCAATGGAACAACAAATGATCTTTTGAGATGATGTTCTGGATATTGGCTTGGTACATTCCAACAAGAGAGTGCAGTAGGAGTATTAAAGCAAGGCCTCCTTTAAGATTGAAAGAGAATGTGATGAAATATAAAAAATACATGAAAAATGAATTCTGTAACTGAAAGTGAGGCTAAATGCAATAAGTTGAGAGGGCAAATAAAGTGGAAAATGATGCTGGCATAGAGGGAATATAAAAGAGACGGTAAGGACTGCAGATGCTGGAAGCCTGAGTCTATAGGTGTGAAGCTGGAAAAGCACAGCAGGTCAGACAGCATCTGAACAGCAGGTAAGTCAATGTTTCAGGCTGAAACCCTTTGTCCTGACGAAGGGTTTCAGCCCGAAACGTTGACTTAACTTGCTGTTCGGATGCTGTCTGACCTGCTGTGCTTTTCCAGACTCGGGGAATATAAAGGGATGGTAGCTAGCAAGGGCAGCAAATGCCATTGCCATCAAGTACTTGCTTCATTTACCAGTGCCCCTGAAGCAAAGTGCCCTCCCCTCCGCTGAGCTCATGGTACTCACTTCGGCAGTTTCCCCCACACAAAAGAAGGTGGATGAAGGCAAAGGTCCTGATTTGAAGTTGCTCAAGTGGCGTCTGGGTGGGAGTGTCATTCTGTGCAGAGAAGTATGCTGACAACCAATTTTGGATTGTGACGCCAAGCTGGTGGTTCATTTGTGTATCTGACTGCTTCATATTACACAAGACCCTGTTCTTTGCAGACAGAAAGAACACCCTGTTTCAATTCAGCAAAAAAGGCGGCAGCCATTTTCAGATTTATTTCTCAAGACAATGCCTTGACCAATCACCGTAAACATCTCAGTTTAAAATTTAAATAATGCTTGACAATTAACTGTCTGTCATTAACTAGTAATTAGTTAATCTAGTAACACTCAATAGCAATACTTCTACCAATCAGAAGAGCTAACTTGCAGACCAATCAGCACTGTCCCCTCATTCTGTATTTCTTGTGTTCGAGGCAAGGCAAGAAGCTTTGACAAAATGTCTTCTTTGCAGTATTACTCAATATTGCTATTTTTTGTGTATAATTCAACTGTTTGCATAAGAAATATAAAAATCTAATTGAAGATAATTTTTTTTGCAGTACCAGCTGCGTTTCAGAATTCAAAAGTATTTTGAACAAATGCATTTTCACACTAAAGACTTCAAAATATTTTGTGCGGTTTCTTGCAGATGACCATGCAGTTAAACTTATGAAAGAAATGGGACCATCAAATATTGACATTGAGCTGAGGGGCTTGGCCCCAGATGGAGGCGGTTCTTTGGAGGTTATGCTGAGCTTTCTGCAAATGATTGGCAACATGCTTCATAGCAAGCGTGATTTTGAATTGGCTCAGGCCTACCTGGCATTGTACTTGAAGGTAATTGGAGTTTTCAATTGTTATCAGAAAGTCACTACTTTTATTTTGCATCCACGATATCTTGTAAGAGTATAACATAATTTCTTGAAAGTGCTCTTACTAAGAATGCACAGTAAAATTGTAGAGTTCATGTTTTGTTGCAATTAGTTTGTGGCTCCTACTTCTACATAAATAAGCTGCGTTCCTGCAGTGTTGTTTTCCTTCAGAAATGTTCTTTGCCTTTCATATTAAGCCTTCAATTGTCAAAATCTAGTGAAAGTCCCCATCTTTTTAAAGTACAGCAAACATTGTTTTAACCAGCACTCTTGATAAACTAGCAAAAATTATACCTCCAAATACCAGAAGTTTACTGTATTATTGTCCAAGTACAGTGGATAGTGCCACGCACAGAAGATGCAGGCAAGGAGAGAGGGATCCTCTTCAAATGGGCTTGAACTTTGCTTTGTTCTCTCTTCTCTTGTTCACGTTAACCATGCGTCTAGATTTTTTTTTGGATGAGTACATACCTGCCTTCTTTATTTGAAGGTGGCTGTCAGTGTATTTTTTTTTGTGCCTGTGTTCGGCTCGGGCTTCAGGGTTACAGCTGTGCTGCAGTTGCAGCATGGACTGGCACATGGGCAGGATTGAGAAAGTGACACTGCAAGTTAACAGAGCAAATGATGTTTCTCTTTTGTTGCTGGAGAGGGCGGTGGAAGCAGAACATCCTGCATTTATGCAGAAGGTAAATACACATGCTGGTTTAGATTTGGTACTGGGATAAATATTGGCTTTCAGGGTTGCAGTAAAGGCATTCATCTGTTAAGAGCTTTTGCCATATCAGTTGTATTCCTGTTGGTAACTGAGTTACTTTATGAAAGCATTATTTTTCTTTAAGTTGGCGCGGTAAATAAAATTGACAGAGTTACAAATTAGTGACAGTTTTAGGTGCAAAACACGTGGAGAACCGTTTCCAGTTCCAAAGTTACCGCTGTGAGTATCTATATTGGGCCATAAACAGCAGTGTCTACAAGAATATTGATATTGATTCTGTCATCTGATACAGGCTGTCATTGCTGTACCCTGGTCGTTCACCTGAAAAAATTCAATTATGTCTGAGGTCCTGTTCGTGATTTTTAAAGCTGTGGCAATGGTTAGGGTTAACGGAAAGATTCTTGGCAGTGTGGAGGGGCAGAGGGATCTTGGGGTTCATGTGCACAGTTCCCTGAAAGCTGCCACCCAGGTGGATAGAGTTGTTAAGAAGGCATGAGGTGTGTTAGCTTTCATTAATAGAGGGATTAAGTTCAAGAGCCGTGAAGTTATGCTCCAGCTATACAAAACCCTGGTTCAGCCACATCTGGAGTATTGTGTCCAGTTCTGGTCGCCTCATTACAGGAAAGATGTGGAAGCGTTGGAAAAGGTGCAGAGGAGATTTACCAGGATGTTGCCTGGAATGGAGAGAAGGTCTTAGGAGGAAAGGTTGAGAGAGCTAGGGCTTTTCTCCTTAGAACGACGAAGGATGAGAGGTGACTTGATAGAGGTGTACAAAATGATCAGAGGTATAGATAGAGTGGACAGCCAAAGACTTTTTCTGAGGGTGGAGGTAGCTATTATAAGGGGCATAGTTTTAAAGTGAGTGGAGGTAGACATAGGGGAGACGTCAGAGGTAGGTTCTTTACTCAGAGTGGTGGGGGCGCGGAATGCATTGCCGGAGAGGTTAGTGGAGTCAGCCTCATATTAAGGGCATTTAAGCGGCTATTAGATAGTCATATGGATGATAGTATAAGGTAGGGGTGGAGGTTAGATAGGCCTTAGGTTTAGGTTAAAAGTTCGGCACAACATCGTGGGCCGAAGGGCCTGTACTGTGCTGTACTGTTCTATGTTCTAATGCAATTTGATGTATTTGAGTTATGGTGACTCCAGTCATGTCTCTAGTTTGTGGAGTTGTCTACTTGAGACCAGGCGAAGATCTGGGAATTGTGGTGAATCACTGGCGGCCCACATTATATTTTTACAGGCTTGATCAGTTGGGCCGAGGAGTGGCAGATGGCATTTAATCTAGATAAATGTGAGGTTCTACGTTTTGGTCGGGCAAATCAGGACAGGACTTGCGCACTTAATTGTAAGGTCCTGAGGAGTATTGCCAAAAAAAAAGAGATCTTGGAGTGCAGTTCAGTGTCTTGAAAGTGGAGGTACGCAAGATTGTGCAAAAAGCGAATGGTACGCTTGCCTTTATTGATCAGTGCATTGAGTATAGGAGGTGGGAGGTCATGTTGCAATTGTACAGGACATTAGTTAGGCCAGTTTTGGAATACTGCATTCAATTCTGGTCTCCCTGCTATAGGAAAGATGTTGGTAAACTTGAAAGGGTTCAGAAAAGATATACAAGGTTGTTGCCAGGGTTGGAGGGTTTGAGCTATAGGGAGAGGCTGAATAGGCTGGGGCTATTTTCCCTGGAGAGTCAGGAGCTGAGGAGGTGATCTTATAAAAGTTATGAGGGGCATGGATAGGGTGAATTGCCGAGGTCTTTTCCCCAGGGTAGGGGAATCCAAAACTAGAGGGCATAAGTTTAAGGTGAGGGGAAAGATTTAAGAGACCTGAAGGACAACTTTTTCATGCAGAGGATGGTGAGTGTATGGAATGAACTGTCAGAGGAAGTGGTGGGGCTGGTACAAGTGTGTCATTTAAAAGGCATCTGGATGAGTATATGAATAGGAAAGGTTTAGAGGGATATGGGCCAAATGCTGGCAAATGGGACTAGATTAATTTAGGATATCTGGTTGGCATAAATGAGTTGGACCGAAGGGTCTGTTTCCATGTTGTACATCTCTAAGACTCTGTCAGTTGAGGTTGTGAGTGAGAAGGCTTCCTGCAGGTAAGTCTTATTTAGTGCAAAGTTGCATTAGTATTTAAGTGATTTATGCTGTTGGTAAAGTATAACAGTGATGTGTATACCCCGTGCATTACATTTCTATTGGTCCACATTTTTACTGATTATGTGGATTATTTGATCAACCAGCAAACATCTGGTCCCACAGGTACTAATTAATAAAACAATTGTTGAAATAGGTAAAATTTTATAGGCAGAATTTTGCTGCGTATAGGATGCATTTCATTTGAAGAATTATGGTCTATCCCAATAGATAACCTCCAGAAGAATTCAAAGAGTTTCTGTTGTCATTTGTACAGGTTATAAATATTTGTTGTTATCATTCACATTGTGGTGCATACACTTTATTAGTTGGATATCAACTCAGGCCAGTGGTAATGTGCAGGTTATTGCATTAAGAACAAATGAATTGGGAGCAGGAGCAGCTGATTTGGCCCCTCAAGTCCGTTCTGAAATTGAATAAGATCATAGCTCATCTGGTTACTCCTCATTCACCTCTAATCCAATAACCTTTCACCACTTTGCTTATCAAGAATCTGGCTACCTCTCCCTTAAAAATATTCCAAGACTGCCTCCACAGCCTTCTCAGGAAGAGTATACCTAACAAAGCTTGGCCATAAACTGTCAGTCATTGTTAATTGGTGCATTCTCCATGGCAATACCTCTACCAAAGTTCACTCGCCAGCCATTCAGAACCTTCCTCTTGTGCAGTAGAAATATTGATGTTCTGTTTCATTGCTATTCCTGTGCATTGTCCTCCTGAGTGCAACATGAAAAACTTTTGACAAAATGTCTTCAGCAGTGTGTTCCAGATTCCTAACACACTCTCTGGGTGAAAAATGTTTGCCTCACATTACCCCTTTAAACTTCCTGCCCCTGGGCTTATGTCTATGCCTCTGTCATTGATTCTTCCATCCAGGGGAACAGTCTCTTCCTGTCTTCATTTTCTCTCCTGGTATTAATTACCTTAGTTTCCTCATGCTGGCTGGCCCTAGATAGCCCTCAATTTTTGTTATATAATAACCAAAACAATAGCACTTTTTAATTATACCCTGACTGACTAAAGATTTATATTGACCTAGTGAATAATCAAAAATGTTGGAGATTGTTCCATTTTAACAGATGGCTCCACTGCAGCACATTGGGATATTTCACTGTAGTTAGAGATGTGGAGAAATATGCAGTGAAGAAGAAAATCTTCAACATAGAGTCTCTTATGAGGGCTTAGTGGTGCATGGGTCCAGGAAGTGTTTATTTTATCCATGGATATTTTGAAGGTAAACATGGCTCAGCTGACTGTTTATCAGAGACTGAAAGCAACCTGCACGACATGCTGAAATGCAGAAATGTTTACAATTGATACTGTTTCTGCAATTGTATTGAAGCATCTGGTCAATTCCAGATTGAACTTGCAAATTCATGCCCTAAAAATGTTAAAAATTGTAAATGTATTTTAATTGGTCAATTCAGCTAGAAGCAACATTTTTGTGGAATTAGAAGGAACAGAAGTGCTCTTCCTGGTTCATAAAAATTGTCAATGTGCAATGTATACGTTGAATCTGCAGAAAATCTAGCCCTCATTGAAGCTAATTCTCTCCATTGCTATCAGCAGTGCAGTGCCGTGCCACATACATTTCATTTCTCCACTGAATAGTGTATATTTTTGTAAATATAGTTTTAACAAACGTTTCCTCCTCAAGTTTTAACTACACGGCATCCTAAATTAGGATATTCCTTATAGCAGTAATTATTGCACAGCTTTTTCTTCTTGGTTTGTAGTAGGAACGTCCATCCTCAACTTTTATAATTTAACACCTGTATATTTTTATAAATCTCCTAGGTGGAAACAAAACTTCGTTATAGCCACAAAGTACACATTGAATGAGAATTCAGCTGTGTGCCTCCTACAATAGATATGACACATTAATTATTATTTGGCAATGGATCCTCTCGCAGGCATGCCTGCTAAAATCTTGTGTGAATTTTTGACAGGAAATACTGAAAATTAACTAGTCTATTTCTGGGATTGAGTTGAGTAATTTTAGAATTATTGTCCAGCTTTGTTTTTGTCACCTTTTTTGACTTTTGTTCTTAGTCAAACCTTTAATTTTCCAACAAAGTTACTAGTTGACTGTTGTGATAAATCTATACATTAGACTATGGGCATCACGGGCAGTGTCACTATTTGCCACTCATCCTTAATTGCCTTTGAATTGAGTGGCTTGCCAGGCCATTTCAGAGCACAGTTCAGAGTCAGTCACACTACTGAGAGTCTGGAGTCACATTCAGGCCAGGCAAGGTGGTAATTTTCCTTACCCAAAGGACATTAATGAACTAATAATACAATTTATGCAGAAATGCATTTCATATTACCATTTTTGAAACTAACTTTATATTCCAGATTTTATTTTAATTTAAATTCCATCAGCTGCAGTAGAACTTGCAACCTTGTCCCCAGGCCGTCAATCTTGGCCTCTGGAATACTAATACAGGAATATTCTGACTATACCACTGCCCTGATTGCTTCAGGTCTGCGACCTAATTCTGTTTACTTGGTTTTACTTAATATCTTTGGATAACAAAAATCGTTCAATCTGTGATATAAAATCAGCAACTGACCTAGCATCAATTGCCATCTTTGGAAAAGCATCCCAAGCATCTACCATTCACTGGTCTGTAGAAATGCTTCCCAGCTTTGCTCCTGTTAGGCCTGGTTGCAGCTTTGCTATATCCAGTGCTAAATTCCCTAACCAATGGCAGTATCTTTCTAGCTGGAAAATGCCAGTTGGCCCCTTGAGCCTTTTCTGCCATTCAGTAGGATCATGGCTGCTCTGATTGTGCTCTCATTCCATGTTTCTGCCTACTGCTGATAAACTTCGATTTCCTTAATCAAGAAGCTACCTCTGCCTAAAAATATTCAATGACTGCCTCAAATGTCTTCTGGGAAAGACAGTTCCAAAGATTCCTGACACTCTGACAGAAAATTTCTCTGACTTGAATGGAGGATCTCTTATTTTTAAACTGAGTCCACTAGTTCCACTCTCTTCCATAATCTCTTAAAACATTTAAAACCCTTAAGTTATTCTTCTTCTTCTTCGTCTTCTTCTTCTTCGTCTTCTTCTTCTTCGTC